GGGTGTGAAGTCTCGGGTAAACTGCTGAGCCAGTTGAAGGGCACGTGGACGGACCAGCAAGATTTACTGGACATGATTAGAGAGTCACATCAAGCTCTGCGTTTACAAGGAAAAATCCGAAGGTCTAAGTAATTATTGCACCAGGGTGCCTTGCATTTGGGTATTGAGTTGGATCTAGTATATGTATTCATAAAATAGGCAAACAAGAAACATTGGCTCGCAAACATGAAGCTGCCTGATGGCCGGTCTGATGGACTCGGCGGTATATAAAGGACATGTAGAGAAATGATGAGTGTCATTCACTCATTGCCAAGTAGTAGGTAGTATTCAATACGCCCTCCCTCTTCCACGCCCGCCTCTGTATCCTCGCTTCCCGCGTCCTCTTCCACGTGTTGCAACACGTCGAGTCGCAGGTATGTCCTCATCATCATCACTGGAAGAAGGGTTGCTAGACGCCGAAACGGCTGAGCCGCTCACGGATGCATCGTCGTGATCTCCAAGCCTGACGACTGTGGGACCATGGGAGACCAATGCTGAAGGGGCCTTGGCAGGCTCTGGCGGCCCTGTGCTGCTCTTGGCTGGCGTATCTTCTTGTGCCGACTTTTCTGCAGGAGATGCGGTCTCATCTGCCGTGCCCTGAGCCAGATCGGTCGTGCCTTTGGACTTCCGGCCCTTCATCTTAAAAGATTTGCCTTGTAGCTTCCGGCGCTCAGCCATGGACAGGAACTCTTTGCCAATTGCACTGGTATCGGCTGGCGGGCTGCTATTTCGGGGCTCCTGTCGTCTTGACCTGGTTCGACGCCCTATTTCTTCATCGCTATCGGTAAGGTTACCAGCCATAATCGTAGTAACACCTGATCGTCTGGGACGACCACGCCTCTTGCGTTGACTGGGTAATTCTGGTTGCTCTTGAGGCTCCTGTTCGATTCCATTTTCGTTCACTTGGGAATTGTCGTCATTTGGTTCTGTGACATGGCTGTCGTTCCCCTCTAGCTCTTCGGGGGAGGTTTGCTTGGGCTCGTCGATGAGCTTCTTCCTAGGCGGCCGGCCGCGTCTCTTGGGAGTCGACCCATCCTTATTGAGATTGGGTTTGGGGTTGAAGAGCTTGTGCACGGCAGCGGCAGCAAGATCAACTTCACTAGCAGGGGGGTCTTGCTTCTTGGTCGAAGCAGCAGGTTCATCATGCTCTTCTTCGATTTCGTCCACCTCGCCCTCCTCAGGCTCGAAGTACGATTGTCGAGGCTTAGCGTGTCGCAGCTTTGGTTCGTTTGCATCAAAACGGGGGGCAGGGCGACCTTTCTGACATGCTAAGGTTGCTGGGTCATCTGGCATTGTCATTGTTGTTGGCATTGTCTCCTCAGCATCCTTTTCTGGAGGATTAACGGTTTCTTCCACACTCATGACAGCCTCTGGAACTGAAGTATTGGCTTGGAAAAGGGCTGGGTCCATGTTATCTAGAATATCAATTTGCGGCTCTTGCCACGTTGTGGCCCGTGGTTTCTTGTGATGGTTTTTCCCTGCAACATAATCTGGGTCCTCGTTGTCGCGCTTAGCTCTTCTTTTTGCAGCGCGTATCGACTTTTTGACGAATTCTGGAATCTCGCGATTCTCTTTCTCGAGAATTTCGGCATCTGGTGCCTGATAGGGGTCAAACAAAATCTTATCGGGTGTATCGTCTTGTTCGTAGTAGCCCATGCCAATTCTTTGATGCGCGATCGCCGATGGATCAGGATAAAGGGAAGCGTCCATATCCTCCATCTCAGGAGGAGGTAAGGTGTCCAACATTTCAACATCGGCAGATTGATCATGAAGTTGTTCAACCCCTTGATGACTGAGGTCGGCTGCTGCTCTCTGTGGTGTATCGAGTATGTGACTTTGGTCTCCATAGCCGTTGATAACTGGATGATCTGGCTGAGGAAAGCCAGCCTGTTCCGCCTCTTCTTGCCTGGGCTCTTCCTGTTCTACCAGATCTTGAGCCTTGGCATTATTGGCTTGCGCACGCAATCTTTGCATTCGCTTAGTATCATTGCTACGGCCCTCATCTCCCGCTGCTTTTAACCAGGATAGGTTGTGAATGCGGAAGTCGACTAGAGCCTCAATGCTGCGATCGTCTGCGATCGGTCGTGTGTCGTGACCAAGTGACGTGTTCTTTGGTGTATATGCATCGGTGTTCCCTGAACGACGACAAGCTCCGCAGTTGCAGATGCCTTGGCATTTGGGACATTGCCACTGTTCGTCCTCTAGAACTCGCTGAGGCATCATATCGAACGCTCGGTAAAGAACGCCGTAACAATATCCCTCGCCGCATTGCGGATTCGTGCACTGATGGACTCGATAGCTGTAGTCTTTGTGACAGCAGACGTGGCATTTCCGCAATTCGCCCTTCTTTTGTTTTCTCTTGTACTTCTTCTTTACCGGTGCCTCTTGCGCAGCATCTGGCTCAGAATCGCTCGGAGGCTTTTCCTCCTCTAGCTTTGTGATGTCCTTGAAAGGCCGTCTGCGAAGAGCCTCCTGGCAGATTTGCGCCACCGACTTCCGGCCTGACCGTTGCCTTGCTACCTCCAATGGTTGTGGCGAACTATGAATATCCACGAAGCCATCATTCTTGATCACCATGGCACTCCAAATTTCGTGGTTGTGTACTAATTCGGCCCAGCTCCATTGTTCACACCACTTCAGTCCCGACAGGCAAGCGCAAGAACGTCCCATGGCGTAGCATTCCATGCATACGTCGTAGGCATCTTCGTCACCATTCAATAAAGGCCGGACGCAGTGTTTGCAAGTGAGAAAGCGGTTGAAGATATTGGATCGGCAATAGGAGCAGGTGACACAAGAGTCGAACTCTATGAATTCTACATCCTTCTCCTTACTAGCGAACATCTCATCGACTAGTATCTCCGTAAATAGCTCCAATAACTTTTTGAAATCGCTTGCCAGTTGCTTGGCTCGTGGAGAGTTTTTGACGATGTCCTGCCCAAAGCCTTTGAAGCTCATCTGCGTAAGCTCGGCATTCTCTTCGAGCTGCTGAAGCTGTTTGTAGTACTGGGACAAGGTATAATATATCATGGCCTTGTTCTTGTACTGCTCATCTCTGCATACTAATCGTGTTTTGGGAAGAGCTTCATGGAGTGCAAGATCAAGTGTTTCGACCGTGGTGCGATTCCATGCTACTTTCATGGTCCTTGTTCCTCGATTCCATACTTGATGTGCAGCCAAAGGAGGAACCAAAATAAAGTCGCCGACTTTTTGCTCGACAACATAAACGTCAAAAGGAGCCTTTTTCCAGGCATTGATCTGGGCAAAATGTTTTTCGATTTCAATATCATGGCCAAGCATGGAAAGAAAGTACTCGCGCACTACATCGCGATCCTTCATCTCAGTCATGAACCAGATAGAGCTACCCTCCTGGTCGGTCCCGTTGGATTCCGAAGCTTCCACCATGATATTTTGACCTAGGGATGCACACATTTCTCTGTGGGCGGGTGTATATGTGCCTTCATGACCGATGTAACACATTAGGTTTTCGGCGCGCATTTCAGCCGGCAGGTTCGACATAAGGTCACCGGATGGAGCAGCAGTGGATTCGACGCCGAAAATATCATCATCTTCAGCGCGAGGCTTGGTGTTGCTGCACACATTTTGGTTGAGATACCAGAGATGTGGGTTGATGACCTTTTCTAGAGCATCTCGCCATTCGATGGGGCAATCGATGTCTTTCAAGTAAAGTCGCTGACGTCGCTCATCTCGGAAGTTTGTCGGTGACCATTGCTCGGTAAGTTGTCGCATCGATCGGATGTAGTGGCCGGTCGTCATGGGCATATCGCTTCCATTTCCTAGGTCTCGGACATTTTCCTCTACGCAAGTGTCAGGCGGGGTGGAATTCAATGAATGAGTTGAAAGGGTGCACCTACGTTTCTTATCATAAGTTTTCTCAAACCAGTCTATGCTGAAAATTTGTTTCGGTAGGACTGCATCCCAGCCATCAATGACCAAAGGCTTCCCTCCAAGAATAACGTGCATCAAAATCAGCTTCTCGAATTCTTGCTGACCAAGCGCACGAATCTGATTCCTGGAGACCCGTTGCACCCATTTTAAGTTCGCGGTATGGTCGACGAGCTCATGGAGATCCAAATCTGGGGGGATAGGGTCGAATTTCGCCTGAGGGTGTAGTGAGGTAGGCATTGCGACGTCTTGAATGTGGCGCTTGTTGTGACTGCAAAGTGTCCGGAGCTGTTCCTGTGGGCAGTCGAGTTGCTAAAAAGCTCAGCGCATGACGGACGCGAGGGCGGCTGTCATGGGCCGGGTGAGATCCAGAAGTAATTGTTCCTCACTTTCGAGCAATAGTGAATGCGACACGGACGGAAGTCGTGATGATGGTTCAAACATCGCGCCTTTAGTCAGCGACACGCGCTGAGGCACTAGAATAAGGTGGGTCACGTGTGGTTCAATCAATATCTTTGCCTTCACCTAGGCCAGCGGTTTTTTTCTTCGGTTGGCAGCAACTGTATTCTTACCTAATTTAGATTTATTTCTATATACACATAAAGAGAAGCCTTTGGTATAGTCAATTGAAACTTTTCTATAGGTAGGATTGGTGTAAGTTGCGGAATGTAGCACAATAGATCACTAATCAGTTGTGCAGATTTCCTTACCTCATGAGATTCAACGCAATCCCCAAGACAACCTGTCGGGCTGTCTCTTGGCGAAATGGCCGCCCCCAGAGTTTAACGCTGAGGTTGAGGGCTGATAACTCTGCAAGGGGTGTTCCTGGGCGTGTTACAACTTTCCATTCGACGGCAGCTCAGACATCTGCTGTGTCCCCAAATGCGTCAACTCTAAGTGACGGAGGGTTGCCACTTTATCAACCGCCGCAGACTGGTATCTTGTCGGCAATCCCAAAATCTTGGGTCCCATATGCCGAGTTGACACGAATTGATAAACCTGCTGGAACATACTACCTTATGTTTCCGTGTATCTTTTCAACTCTCTTAGCAGCACCAATGGCAATGCCTATGGCAACACCCGGAACAGTCCTGGGAACCTCGGCTTTGTTTTTTACAGGAGCTTTAATCATGAGAGGTGCCGGTTGCTCGATAAACGACCTGTGGGATAGGAATTTGGACCCTCAGGTGACCAGGACTCGTCTTCGTCCCATCGCTCGTGGCGCCATCACTCCATTTAAAGGTCTTGTCTTCACAGGATTCCAGCTTCTTGCAGGTCTCGGAGTACTGGTCCAGTTTCCATTCGAGTGTCTCTATTACGGGATACCCAGCTTGCTATTTGTAGCAAGTTATCCTTTGGCCAAGAGGGTGACCTACTATCCCCAATTTGTCCTGGGATTGACATTCTCTTGGGGTGCAATGATGGGATTTCCAGCCCTCGGTGTCAACCTGTTCTCTAACGCTGACGCGCTGGCAGCAGCTGCGTGTCTCTATGCGTCAAACGTGGCATGGACTGTCTTATACGATATGATTTATGCTCATATGGACATCAAAGACGATGCCAAGGCTGGAATCAAGAGCATAGCCCTCAAGCATGACAAGGAAACAAAACAGGTGTTGACTGGGCTGGCAGTTACCCAGATTGGCCTGCTCGCGGCCGCTGGATATGCGGCTGGTGCTGGCCCTGTTTTCTTCCTGGGAAGCTGTGGCGGAGCTCTCGCCACCCTGGGTATCATGATCAAGCGTGTGAATCTGAAGAGCGTGAAAGACTGTTGGTGGTGGTTTGTGAATGGCTGTTGGATCACAGGAGGTGTGGTAAGCTTAGGACTGGCCGGGGATTACGCTGTTCGCTACTATCAGCAACCTGCCGAACTTGATGAGATAGATATCGAGACCGAGAAGGAATCTTGACTGTAGTATATTGCACGAAGAACCCCTTGTACTGTGTAAGAACATTCATTTAGCGGCATGTACAATATTTGAGACGAATCAAACTTGAGCTCGCGCCAAACTTGAGATTTTGAGATTTGAGATTTTGAGAGACTTTTTTATTTTCGTAGGTTCATCATTAGATACCTGTCTCCCCAATCGAAAAACCGAACCCGAAATGCCGATGCAAGCAAGCCGTTATGACTCCTCGTGCCCAAACATGACTTCTCCCCAATTCTTTTTGAATTCTTCGCTTAAGAGCGGGGCTTCTCCTTCTTCTCCTTCCACAGAGCGAGCAGACCGACACCAGAGACCTTGACAACCTTGAATCGCACACCGGGAATATCACCCTTGGCCTTGCCCTTGCGACCGAAACCGGCCAGGAGGACCTCGTCGTTCTCGTCCACGAAGTTCAGGCAACCGTCGTTGGGGACTACAGAACAAGAAATTGTTAGTCCATTCTCGGGCCTGCGGTGCTGGCCAATTGATGGGGAATCGTACCGAAAGCAGTGACCTTCTTGCCGTTCTTGATCAACTGAACACGAACGCACTTTCGGATAGCGGAGTTGGGCTGCTTGGCCTCAACACCGACCTTCTCCAGGACAATGCCCTTGGCGTGAGAGGAACCACCGAAGGGAGAGGACTTGAAGGCAGTACCGAGAGCACGGCGCTTCCAGTGAAGATCGGCCCATTTCTGGTCCTTGCGGTTGGTTCGCAACTTTCGTGCGGCGTTAAGACCACGGGGTTTGCCTCCAGCCATGATTGCTTCGTCGAATTAGTATTCGGATGCTCGGTACGATGGAAGACGTCGTGGTACGAGGCGGAAGGGTCCTACTCACCGATTTAATGTGTGTTGATCGCGGCGATTGGTGATAGTAAATCTTTTGGCGGAGTGCTGCAAATTGATGGGCTAAGCTAGGTCTTCGGAATTTCATAGGGTTTTTGGACCCTAGCAGGGAAAAAATGCGTGGGCAGATCCGCTCTGGCACGTGACAAGTCGTATGAGAATTCTGGTGGTTCGTCATCGGTGCGCATCAACACTATTCCGGAAGCACCCACGCTAAATAACAGGGACCCTGGGGTCTTGCAAGATGCCGTTCCACATTCAGATAACGATAACAGCAATTAGCTTTGATAGTTCCGCTGTAAGAAATCCGAAAGAAGAGCATCATCAAAACCTCTTGAAGCCTACCTAATGCTCAGTCATATGTTAATCGGTACGGTTAATTTAATACATCAGTAGTCCGATGACCTGAGCCTGGAGCATTTCTCCAGCATTCGGCATGAGCAGTGATTGCGAGAGGCGTCAATATCCTGCTTACCTCAGCATCTCATTCCACTGTTGAAACTCCATCATCAACAGACTGTCACGCCGTTCACTCCTACGACATATGGTTCTGGGCAAGCAGTGAAATGGCGCATCATAGGCGGAACCAGAGCAGACAGCAACGCGATCCTCCTCCTTCTCTTTTCCTGCATCCGTCTCCCGCAGGATCTCATGTGGAACTTCCAGGCATTTTGGCCCCAGGGGCTCCTGTTCCAGGACCTTCGGGCGGTCTAAGCAATGAGCGACCTTTAAATCCAAGCAGCTCGTCTCTGTCCATTCACAGCGCAAATGGTCCACGAGGCCCTAGATCCATTGAGAGTTCAAGAACTGCTGACAGGACAGATGCTTTGTGGGCTGAGATGCAAGCCACATTGCAGGAGGTGGAATTATCAGCATCTGGAGGAACTCATGTATTTGGGCCAGAACACGACCGTAAGCTTAATGAATTGCGGGCTGCACAAATCGCTCTTGCCCAAGCTTGGGCCCGAAGCGAAGCAGACGAGGTCATTGAAACAGCTATGCAGGAGAATATGACGGCAACAGCAGGGACTGCCGACCACCACAACCTCAAAACAGCTTTTGGGGATGCCTCAAAATCCGCGGGCGAGGGCACGGATGCTGCAAAAAGTACAGTGCAGTCCAATAGTGCAAGGCCGATGAGCAGGGGGGAAGAGGTTGAACGACTTGGTGCCAAGCTGGAAGAAGAGACCGAGGCCGATATCCTTTTGGCCAGGAAGCGTCGAGAAGCCAATGACCAATACTTCCAGCAGGTTAATGCTGGTGTCCTGGACGTCGTTGCTAAGCTGGAGGAGGTTGCTGTGGCCATGCGGGCCGTTGAGCAAGAGAGCAAAGATATATGGAATGATGTTGAACTTCCATCAGAAGCTATCAAAAACTAATATTGCTGGCCGACCACTGTACAAGTCCCCGTCGGAACATTTGTCAATCAAGCGAGCGTTCATTTTCAGAATCACTATTTTGTTGCATTCCTGCACCTCCACTTACATACCCGAGTTTGATACCAGAGAATATTAAACAATGAATACTCCTAATGATAAGGCATTTCGGATCAATGAATCGATATATTACGGACTTGATATACTTGTTTTTCTATAAATCAAGAGGCGCCCGGACCTGATCTGGTATACGTATGCATTAGGTGCTTATTACTGGGTTGTGGAGGGGAAAGTTCGAGATATAGGCGTGTAATGTCATATTATTACCCACTTGCTATTGTACCACATAATAAACTCACCGTAGTGATTAATATGATTGGCCAGCAAGGCGCAGCGTCCCAGACGAGTCAAGTAATTAAGGTCAGGACCCGTCAATTTCTTTGGCACAGGCCTAAATAATCATTGGAGTTGAAGCACAAGGCAGAAAGCTTGATCGCCTTCCTGCCGGTCACACAGGTTTTACTCAGAAAGACATCATTGACCCTCCACTTCAGCGGGCACAGTGTCCAAGGAATCGGGCTGAACAAGTTTTTGTTGCAACACGTGAATCTCCCATCGAAAATCGTATCTAATGTATGTCACTCACGTAACGGTGTCGGGTCGTTTAAATGGCTGCCTGTGATGCATTCCCAATCAAGCTTCCAAGGACCAATCACAGCGTCGGACATGTCTGCATTGTACAAAACGACACGTCAGTCCTGTGCATCTCGCCGGTGGTCATTCTTGCTTGCTCGCCCTCAAAGAGGAATGTCGCTCGTTTACTGCCTGCGTTGACTGGCCCAGTCGCAGTCTTCAGCACACGAGTCGTTTGCAGATTCCGATAGCATGAACGAGGCTCCTGCCAAACCTGGCAGTTCAAGACTGATGCAACCATCAGCCATCGGCTAACCTTCGGAGGGGAGGGGCCTTAATTGGGCGTAGCACTCTTATGGCACTTCTGTAAGTACCTCGGCCGACAAGGTACACGGAGCAAGCCACATTTAGTATGTGAGTGTTTGTACTGTATCTAAATTTACCCCATGTGTACATACCACTGCTACGCCACCATTGAAGTCATCTGTTCAATATAAACGCCATTGCTCCCAGCGTCTTGACTCGGTCATCGAACGACCACATCACCCTACAGAGTTCAACCGCTTCAGCGCATTCAACGCACTACAACCCAAAACAGACATCTTCACTTCCGAAGCCGCTATTGAATAACGACGTTCGTCTTCTCAGAGGCCATCAGCACTACACCCCGACCCATCCCATCGCATCTCCGGCCCAACGAAACATATCGCGCCCGAATCAACCAGCCCTCAGACATCATGCGCCCCGTCCAGTTCCTCGCAGCAGCCCTCGCCCTTGCCCCGGGATTGGTAGCTGCCAGCAAATCCGCTATTGTTTGGTTTGACAACCCCAACACTCCCGACGATGTCATCAACAGAGCCAAGGACGACATTGTGAAGGCTGGAGGAAAGATAACCCACGTTTACACAATCATCAAGTATGTATCTATGTTGCGTCCGGCATTCCGTTTCACGTCCTGACCATCTCTTCTCCGATAGGGGCTTCTCTGTGGTCGCTCCCGAGACCGCACTCCAAGGTGTCCAAGCATGGGGCACCGAACACTCCGTACGAATCGAGGAGGACAACACCGTCTCCGTCAACGTCTAATTGAGGAGAACTTTGCGATGATTGATGATGGATTGTTGGCGAAAATAGGCTCTCAGCATTCTTTTTTGAACTTTTGGCGACATGGCGAAATTCCGGGAAACCGCTCGAACGAGCAATGATACCTACCTTACCTGCTGATAGGGCCACACACTCTTTCGATAGCTTTGTAAGAAGTATGAAGAAGGGCGTTCGGGCTTTGATAGTTGCTTTATTATTTTTTTTAGACAAGAACACCTGATTCGTTTCACAGTACTTTGTAGACAAATACAAACACGACGAAGACATCTGTAGCCATGCGGAAGTGATGCGGCGATCTATTCTCTGAAAAACATCTCCTGAAAATGACTTGTCTATACATTTCGAAGATACTGTAATTAAATTAGTTTTGTCACAGATAAAGTGTTGCTGTCTGTTAGTTGATGGAGGGGGATGCGTCCCGCATAATCGTTGCATAAACCTACCATGTTTAGGCTCCATTATGCATACCTGTAATGCTTAGGTAGGCGGTCGGTTTGAGTGGACTTGACCACCTCTACTCCAGAGGAGAGTCAACGCGACTCAGTAGCTGTCGTTGTTCAGACGCCCAACAGATCCCGAGATCAGAACAATAATGAGCTTCATGATCATTCCATCGGTCGCAAACTCGAGTTTTTTGACATTTCCTAGGAAGTAGCGGTCTTTGGATATGCTCCTTTGCGCCGCTTTCCACAACCTTATCGCTGAGCTCCCTATGCCTGTGCCAGCACCGACAGCTGGAATTCGACGCCTATACTCTCGCTCCTCGTAGGCCGAACAACAATAGAACGTTTCCGCCATGGTACCACCGGCCGGGAAGACGGCCGTTTCATACAGCCATGGCGCGCAGACCGCTCTACTCAATGCCGTGGGTTCCCCTCCTTTCTCCTTGCTGGGCCTTATCCCCACCGCATCCAACGTAGCTACCCGTACTGACTGCCTGGTGTATAGGTGAATCGAATGTTTGAACTCGGAAGAACGGTTCATTCTCTGGACGAGCTTAACAATGGCGTCATCCTCGGCCAAATTCTCCACGAGCTGGACCAGGACTTCGACCCTTCCAACCTTGAAACTAGCCAGGGCACATCTAAATATCTCACGAACAAGCGGAATATTCAGACGATATACAAGGGTCTATTTCGATTCATACGGCGGCAGATCCCAGAACTCGGCTGTCAAGCCAAGAAGGTCGATTATCATGCTATCGCCGAGAATCCAGATGCACATGGCATCAGCCAGGTACTTCATAACCCCTTCTGGTAATGATATGTATTCAACTAACAGACCATGCAAGTTGCTTGCTGTCATGGTATCTGCAGCTGCGATGGGGCCCGATAACAAGAGATATATTCCCAAGATCCAGAGGAGCCTGGATCGTGATACTCAGGCTGAAATAATGCAGATTCTTCAGATCGTTCAGCAAGATATCGCCGCCTCTGAAGGGGATCAAGACTTGGATGAGGCTATAGATGCCGTCATGGAGGCCCGGGACATGGATCTCCTCGTTGAAGAACAAAATGCCGCTCTACGACAGCAACTGGAAGCGACGAAGAAGAATTTATCAGACTATATCACTAGGCTCGAGTACCTCCAGCTAAGCCACGAGGAGCTTCGATACGAAAAGGAGAAAAACGACAGGGAGCTAGAGATTCTGCGCATGGCGACGCAAAATGACGCTAATAGCGCGGAATCAGTGAAGGTTCTTGAAGCTCAAGTACATGAGCAGATGGAAATCATTGCACGGAACGAGGAAACGATTCGGGCACACGAGAGAACCAAAGCTCAACTAGAAAGTGAGGTTCAGAGACTCACGCAAAAAAGCATACAAGCGGACGACCTTCGCGACCAGGTTATTGAATGGAAACACAAAGCCGAAGAGTTGGAGAAGAAGGCCAATACTGCTGATAGATATAAGCAAAAACTGGAATCTCAGCAGCATTTGGTCAAGGAGGTCCAGAATCTTCAATATGAGAAGGCAGACTTGCAGGAACAGCTTCGGTCCCTGGTGGACGACAGAGAGCGGAATTCCCGCACAAGACAGGCGGAGGATGAGCTGACAAAGATGATAACACAATCAGAGCAGCATCTCTGGGACGAGCGCAGCCAGAAAAATCAACTTATTAGGGACGTGGCTGCCTTGGAAGAAGAGCTTATGCGACTCAAGGCTCAACGCACACATGATGAAAGCTACATTCAAGACCTCCAGGAGCAAATTCAGCATGGGGGAGCTACCGAAACACCGACACAAGGCGAGGAGGCCCTCGGTGGTGAAGGATTAAGTCTAAATCTTGCAGCTGAGCTGGACAATGCTAGTAATGACGGCCAGCCGTTGATTCCTTTGGAGTTATCACGCTTAAAAGCAGAGAATGATTTGCTCCGAAGAACTATGGGCTCATCTGGTGACGCAGCTTTGTTGCGGAGAGAACTTGAAGATGAAAGAAATCAGAGGGAGCATCTCCAGAACAATTTCAACGAGATTTTCGAAAAACACACACTAGCTCAGGGTCAAATTGACGCTCTCATGGAGGACAAGATCGGCGAAGAGTTCGTATCCTCCAGAATCAAACCCACCCTCTGCTATAACATTGTTACTAATTCGACCATGAAACAGAGCTCAAGCTTTCAGAGATCTGAGGACGCGCAGCGACCAACTTGAAGAAAATCTTCAGAAAGCTCAACGGCGTTTGGAGCAGTTGGAAAATGTGAATGCTGATCAAACCAGGGAACTTGTGACAGTGAAGACTCAACTTTCTGCCGTCGAAAAGGACCAAACCGAAGCTATTGAGGACCTGAAGAAGACCGACGTGCTAGTCTCAGAATCACTACAGGGAGAGCTAGTAAGACTTCGCGAGAAATACAATTTTGCCATTAGCGAACGAGACGCCCACAAGTCTCAGCTTGTAGAAGCCTTGCTGGAAAAGGACAGGCTTCGCAAAGGCTCGGAGGAAAACAAAGACTTGGACGCAAGTGCCAAGGACTCGGATGGCCCAGAACTCTCATCCAAGGGGGCCGAAAAGATCGAGAAGTTGCGCGAGCGCCTCAAAGAGCGAAACGAAGTAAGTGGACATCGCCAGAAAAAGGGAAGGCCCCGGATTTCGTGGGTTTATGAAATACAACATTATTTCGTCAACTTGAAATCTCAGCCTCAAGAAAGCCCAAAGGAGTGTCTTGGGCAGAGGGGGAAACATTACAGTCACCAAGGCCCAGCGGTTCTCGGCTTCCCTCCCCACGCAAAGACAAGCCTTCTGTTACACGTACACGGTTTTATG